TGCGGCCTGCAAGCCTGTCTGGCAAAGGCCGGTTTCCAAGGCCCGCTCAGCAGAGCTCTGTGCATGCGGCACAGCCGGGGGGGCTCTGAACAGCGTCCACAGAGCTGGCCATCAATCGGCCTGGCCCGCCGACAGCGCCACCAATCCACCACCGTTGGACGGCATCCAGGGAGCTGCTCTTATCGAGGCCTGGGAGTCATCCGATCAGGAGCAGACGGGAGCATGTGGTTTAGGCAGAGAACAGCGGGCACAGCCCTCGCTCCGGGCAGCGCGTTGCGGGCACAAAGCCGCTCGGCCAGCAGTCACAAACAGCCCGTCTGAGCGCAGCCACGGTCTGCAGGCGACGTGCAGCCCGAAGAGGGGGCTAGCGCTGCCCCCCCCCCCCCAGTGCGCGGAGCCGACCCCTTCCAGCGCCCCCAGTGGCTGCCCCGATTTTGCAGTGTGGGAAAGGAAAGCCAGAGACAGTGGGGTGTGTCTACACTTCAGCCATGGGGCGCAGCTGCAGCTCCCGGAGATGTGGCCAAGCCGCCTTTGGTCTCATCAGCCTGGGTGCTGCAGCAGGGAAGTTTCTTGTGGGCAGCCCCACAAGAAATTACCCAGCATCTCGGGCAGGCAGGCACAGGCAGAGTGAAGCCTGCGATGATGTGCGGCCTCGCTGCTGTGGTACCCACGCTGGCTAGCTCCTGCACATCTCCATGTGCTGCAGGGACAGCCCGCGGTTGCAGGGCAGACACCCCAGGAGCCTGGCCAGCATCACTGGAGGGCTGGTGTCAGCAGTGGCCAAGCCCGTGTTCTATGCTCTGACCAAGCCGTTCATTTCAACCCTTGTCAGACGACAGGGTTGGCCTATCAGGCTCTCTGCAGGAAGGCTGGAGCCCAGCCCCACCACCAGGAAGACCTCTGACCTCCAGCAACGTCTGCCCTCCCTGAGAGGAAGGACAGAGGCCTCCTTGCTGTCCTAGGGCAACCTCAAACCTGGGCCAGCAGGCGCTTCTATGCTCTGACCAAGCCGTTCATTTCAACCCTTGTCAGACGACAGGGTTGGCCTATCAGGCTCTCTGCAGGAAGGCTGGAGCCCAGCCCCACCACCAGGAAGACCTCTGACCTCCAGCAACGTCTGCCCTCCCTGAGAGGAAGGACAGAGGCCTCCTTGCTGTCCTAGGGCAACCTCAAACCTGGGCCAGCAGGCGCAGATCTGCTGCCGTGTCGGGGGGCATCGACCCAGCACCC